TAACTGGGAGCTCCATAAAACCTAGTCGCCCTTCCCAGCCTACACTGGGGTCAGTTCACTTGCCAGTCTTTGTGAAAGTTGAGGACATGGGAAATCTGCCCCTCCTGTGGCTTATTAGCAATAAAGCAGAGTTCATCTAAACCGTGCCCTGACCAAACCAACGGGACCTGAGCCTGGGGGCTTCTCTTTGCAGAGTTCATAGAGCAGCAGCATGCAAAAAACAAGTATTACTACTACCACCGGGAGTTCCGCCGGGTGCCGGATATCACCGACTGCAAGGAAAAGGATGTCTTGTGCATGTTTGAAGCAGAAATGCAATGGAGAAGAGACTAGTATGTCTGCCCTTGACTGGGGAACAGAGCCCTGCACAGTGGCCATATCATGCCCAAGATCTTGGGGGTGGAGGGGCCAGATAGGGTCCAACCCATGCTTTCATTCTCTTGGGGTGCAGAGAAATGATTCTTTGTAGACCACCTTTCTTGTTCCCTTTTCTTTCAGCAAAGTTGATCAAGAAATTGTCAACATTATCCAGGAAAGGCTGAAGGCCTGTCAGCAGAGGGAAGGCGAGAGCTACAGGCAGAATTGTGCTAAGGAGGTGGAGCAGTTCGCACAGGTGGCCAAGGCCTACCAGGACCGTTGTAAGTGAGCCTCATCTCAGCCTGACCCTCCTGCTTGCTAGCCAACCCTCTATTCCTAACAGCTGTGGGCACTGAAATAACCAGTTCTCAGATCAATGTACTTGCCATGCTTTCCCAAAGCCTCGCAGGGTGTAAGAGGGAATTATCATTGTGCCCCAGGTCCCCTTTCTGCCAGTAATTGTCTTGGATGCTTGACTTTACTTGCCACATTATGGCAGAAGTGGCCCAATGACTCTCCCATCTCTTCCCAGATCACGAATTAGGAGCCCATTATTCAGCCAGGAAGTGCCTGGCAAAACAGAAGCAGAGGATGATCGAAGAGAGAAAAGCTGCCAGAGAGGCTGCTGCTGCTGCTCATTGAGTCCCTCCCACATGAATGACCGTCTCTTGCTGAATAAAAACAGTGACAAAACCCGTTTCTGGTGTCACCTTCAGCCCTCAACCTTGACTCATTGATGAGCCTAAATAAAAGGCAACTATTAGCAGGCTTAATTCACTTTATTTTTCTTGTATAAAATTATGTGGTGGCCACAGCGGGAGCCTGGGTCCTCTGCACAGAAACTCTGGTGTGGGTCTTGACAAGATGATCAGTGAATTCCTAGAAAGACAGACAAGGCATTCGCTGTGGAGCCAGGCACACACTGCATTTGCATCGGTTAACAAGGTAGTAGGGGAAGGCAGTACCTGATAGGGAGACTTGGTGAACACGGTCTCTTTCCAGAGATCTGGGGTGAGATAGCTGTAGGTCTTAGAGATGGCATCAAAGGTGGCCTTGGCTAGAAAAGGGAAAAGGGTTGGTGGATTTACCCAAAACACAAAACTTCACATGTAGGCAGGAGCTGTCCCACTCCTAGGAAGAGGTTACTTTGCATTTAGGGCTTTCCTCTCTGAAAATAGGCCACCAACCACCCATATTGTGATTAAGCAGTGCTCAGAGGTCATAGCCCTTGTGTAGGCCACCTACCGAAGTTGCCCAGGGTGGCAGTGCAGCCCCTGGCCGAAGTGTAGCAGTCGTCAATACCAGCCATCATCAGCAACTTCTTGGGCACAGGGGCCGAGACAATGCCCGTACCCCTGGGGGCAGGGATGAGGCGCACCAGTACAGAGCCACAGCGGCCAGTCACCTGAAAGGGTTGGAGTCAGAAGGCTGGGGCTGGAGAGACTGTGCCACTGAAGACCCCATCAGTCACCGTCACCCAGCCTACCTTGCAAGGTACGGTGTGGGGCTTGCCAATCTTGTTTCCCCAGTAGCCTCGCCGCACGGGCACAATAGAGAGCTTGGCCAGGATGATGGCTCCACGGATGGCAGTGGCTACTTCCTTTGAGCACTTCACACCCAGACCGACATGTCCATTGTAGTCCCCAATGGCGACAAATGCCTGCGAAGAGACTGAAGTGGCTGGTGGTCCACTGACCAGCACAGCCTCAGTAACCACCACCCGAGGCCTGTTGCGCTCCTCAAGCAAAGGCTGGCCACTGCGAGGCCAACCTGAGGTCCTGAGGAGAGCCTTTCTCTCTCTCCCCATTACGAAAGCCACACGTGTGAAAGCAAGTGTGACAGTGCAGAGCTGGGAGAGTCTCCCAAAGCCCGTGGCAGCGACAGCCCAGGAAAGCACAAGGTGGCTGGGGTACCTTGAACCGGGTCCTCTGGCCAGCACGTGTCTGCTTCTGCACAGGCATGATCTTCAAGACTTCGTCCTTGAGGGATGCCCCCAAGAAAAAGTCAATGATCTCAGACTCCTGCGAGAAATGAGATTTGTGAAAAACACGATTAAAATAAACACCATCTCTGAACATCAGTCATTGGGAGACTTAACTTGGCTTCCTTGTTGATAACCCAACGTCAGAGACCGGCTACCGGTACACTCACAGAGCCTATCAAACAAATCCCGGAGCCCCCCAATAAATCTCATCCCTCATCCCGAGACCAAATGAGACTCCCCAAGGCTGCACCTGCCTAACATCCAAGAAGGAAAAAAGGACCCACGCGTTACCTTGATGGGCAAGGAGAACAGGTAGATTTCCTCTAGGGACTTGATTTTCATGTCCTTGACCAGGCGGCCCAGCTTGGTGACAGGGATCCACTGGAGGGAGAAGGCGCCGATGAGGACAGAATGCCCGGGGCTGCCCACGGGGCCGTCTGGCGCGCACAGCCCGGACCTACCTCCTTGTCCTCGGCCTTGCCTCCACGAGCTCCGCGGCCTCGGCCCCGGCCCCGACCCCGGCCGCGACCCCGGCCCCGGATGCCGCTGCCAAATCCTCCACGGAAGCCGCCGCGACCTCCTAATCCGGGGCCCCCGGGGCCTCCGGGCCCTCCCGCAGCACCGGCGTCATCCGCCATTTGCTAAATTGAGCGACAAAAAAAGTCAACAAGGCCCTGGCACTCGCGGTCGCCTGGACTGGGGCTCCCTCCCGCCCAAGATGCGGTCACACCATCCCCGGTCCAGCCCGACGTCCGCGGATCGCCGCCGCTGAGGCCCCGACCCAAACCAATAAGAACGAGCACTCACGTGTTTCGTCGGAAAAGAAGAACAAAGATTCCTGGGAGGGAGAATTTATATGGCGCCAAGTGCCGCGAGAACTAGACCGCAACATCCCTATCGCGAGTGTTCCCAGGGCCTCCAAGACAGCTTGTGATTGGCTTCACAGGGCCCCGTCAGCTCTGCGTGCGCCTGCGCGTCTCCGGGCTCGCGAAATCGCTATAAATGCCGCTCCGCCGCGCGCGCGCCTCCTCCGGCTGCAGGTAGGTCGGATTGTGCATGTCGCTGGGCGGTGGTCGGGAGGTCGGCGTTGGTTGAAAATCACCTGCGGCCTTGCCCGTGACCGTGGGTGAGATTCGGCGCCCAGAGCCACCGGGGGCCTCAGCTCACTGTCCACACGATGTGGGAAGTGAAACCCAGGCCCCGACACGCGCCGCGGCCCGGCGCCCCGGGTGTTACCGATCGCGTGCTCTCATGTCAGATTCTAACCCCGTTTTCTGCCCGCAGGGCTCCCGGATGCCCCAGCTGAGGCCGACGCCGCCAGGATCGTGGCAGTAGGGAGACTTCGCTGTCCCTCTTTCTTATTTATCTCCTTAAATTATGTTGTCTCTGTCTTAATTTTTTTAATAAAGCTGTTGGTCTAATTCATGCGCATGTGGGTGTTTTTGGTCCCCTGCCTGTCATCCTGGAAAATGCATCTGTGGACCCTCAGATCAGTGTGTGCCGTGAAGGAGAGACCCGCGTCGGCCACCTTTTCCTCCTAGACAGTTGTCCCTCTTTCTTATTTATCTCCTTAAATTACGTTGTCTCTGTCTTAATTTTTTTAATAAAGCTGTTGGTCTAATTCATGCGCATGTGGGTGTTTTTGGTCCCCTGCCTGTCATCCTGGAAAATGCATCTGTGGACCCTCAGATCAGTGTGTGCCGTGAAGGAGAGACCCGCGTCGGCCACCTTTTCCTCCTAGACAGCCCTGTTCTGCTTCGGATGCCACACGGGGGTGGAACTTCGCGTCTCCAAGGTTGGGGGGTGACTCCTAAGGGCCCACAGAGAGCAGATAAAGTACCTTGAGCTTGATGGGAGTCCCGCTGGGCCTGGTAGCCATTAGCAAGGACAGGAGTGTAAGATTCACAGTTCAAACGGCGGCCCCCTGGTCACTTCCCGCAGGACAGGGTTAGGGTGTGATGAGTGAACCACTCGGTGGTATGGAAATACACTTTTCTGTTCTGTGCTTGACATGTTGGAACATGCTGCTCTCTCAGGTTGGAATTGACTTCCCTATGCCTTTCTCATAGGCCTGCCCAGATGGTCCGAGCCTACCTACTCTGGGAGGTTTTCCCACAGGCTAGCTCTTCCTGTACTGTATGTAGGTGGCGTGGCAATCTGGTCCTCATTTCCCTGGTCTGTATCCTGGAGCACCTTGGGTCTTAGGTCCTAAAGCCCCTGAGCTCTTGGAGAACTAGCCACCAGGGCAGCACTATTTTAGGAGGGAGAGGGGAGCCATCCCTTCATTCTTGCTGAAGCCTCGGTCTTGGGGATACTGTCGCTAGGAGTTTGATTCCTGGCCTAGTGCTGCTTGGGGATCAGCTGTCAGTCACCATCAAGGCAGGGGCTTTAGGGACCTACCCCAGGTCTGTGCCCTTTTAGAGAGGGGAGTTAAGAGCCAGGTGGTGCAGAGTCCCAGTGGGCCCTGGGCCAGGACTGTGATTGGCCTGCTTTGGGACAATGCCACTGTGATGTCGGCCCACTCCCCCTGTGAAATGGAGGCTCCTCAGCCCCAGGGGTCAGAAGCTGCTGTCTAGACACATATCATGGTGAGTCCAAGACCCTCTTGCCTCTGGCCCTTATATTTGTGCCTAAATCCAGAGATTTGCCCAGAGCTGAACTCCAATTCTGAGAAAGGGTGGACAATGGCTTACAAGCTCCCAAATGGAATGAGGAAAGCTTTCAGAGGACTCTGGCCAAGAGTAAATCCAGGCCAAGACCAGCTCCTAAAGCTGGGGATTAGTATTCAAAGGTCTTGACCCTCACAGCTGCCCCCTCAAAGTGAGTGCTGACCCACCCCTCCACTCGAGGCTCTCACGTGGCCCACCTCCCTACCCAAAGCTTGCTGGGGTCTCCCTCTTGGCATATAGAATGGGGTGACCAGATTCTGGTCCCTGCCAGCCTCTGATGCTGGCCTGGCCTTTTCAGAGTGGCGGGTATGATCTCAACCTCTTCACCAGCCCTCCCGACAGCAACTTTCTGTGCTCTGTCTGCCATGGAGTTCTCAAGAAGCCAGTGAGGTTGCCATGCAGCCACATCTTCTGCAAGAAGTGCATTCTCCGGTGGCTAGCCAGGTGCTACTGGGTTCCCAAGAGGCTGGGAGGCAAGGGTGGGGATAAGGGCCCTTTCTGTAAACCAGGACAGAAAGGAAGGTCTGCAAAGCCATGGCCATAAGATTCAGCTGCTAAATCTGAGACTGAAATTTGTGGGTCCCCTCACCATGTGTTATCTGCCTGCAGCCCCTGGCCAGGCCTCAGAGCTGAGAGGTCCCTATAAAGCCCTCTCGTGCCTCTTCCAGCTAGAGAGAAGGGACCAACATGTTGCCACCACTTGCTCCCTTCCCAATCCCAACACTCACCCGACCTCTGCCTCCTAGACAAAAGACCTGTCCGTGCTGCAGGAAAGAGGTGAAACGGAAAAAGATGGTCCGTGTGAATAAACTCCGAAAGACCATTGGCCACCTGGAAGTTAAGGTAGTTCAAAGCACCCACTGCCACCAACCTCCTTGTGTCCCTTGGGGGATGGGGCAGAGCAAGGAGAGGGAGCTAGGAGAATCTCACCCTCAGAGAACTAAGGGTTTCTACTCCAGCAACACAGACCGCAGACTTGGGGTCATCAGCCCTGGCTGAGTTCCACTTACTTGCATTTTGACTTTGAGCAAGTTACATAACTACTCAGCTCCTGGGGCCTCAAATGTAAATGGGTTTTTTGTTGTTGTTAATCTTCACCAGAGGATATTTTTTCCATTGATTTTTTTTTAGAGGGAGGAAGGGAGGAGAGAGGGGAGTGAGAGAGAAAGACACACACAATTGGTTGCCTCTCGCATGCACCCTGACTAGGGCCAGGGATCAAACCTACAACCCAGGTATGTGCCCTTGGCTGGAAATTGAACCCAGGACCCTTTGGTGTGCTGACTAATGCTCTAACCACTGAGCGGCACCAGCCAGGGCTCAAATGTAAAATGGAGATCAGAAAATTTTTAGAGGATAATGTATCTGCTGTCAGCCATTAACTCCAGCCTCCTAATTTGTAGATGAAAAAACAGGTTAAAAAACAGCCCAGCCAGCGTGGCTCAGTGGTTGAGCCTTGACCTACGAACCAGGAGGTCACAGTTCGATTCCCCGTCAGGGCACATACCTGGGTTGCAGGCTCGATCCCCATGTGGGGTGTGCAGGAGGCAGCCGATCAATGATTCTCTCTCCCTCCCTCTCTGAAATCAATAAAAATATATTAAAAATAAAATAAAATAAAAACCTGCCATACATGCATACATGCAATCGTCCTAGTGCAACTCAGCCATGCACCTCTGTTTTCCAATTGTCAGGCCTCAACCCGCCCCCCTTCTCTCAGAGATCTAGGTTCTTCCCACCTCTAAGCATTTGTCCAACTGTTCCCCTTTTCACATCATTGGTGCTGTAAGAGCTTGGGAGGTTCCCAGTTAGTTCCCTGGTTCCTAGTCAGTGGAATGTATGTCATGGGTGGGTAATTATTTGAGGGTGGGCAGCTCAAAGGCTGGCAATGCCTGACCTGGTTTGGCTCACCTTGTTCTCCCCCACCCCTAGTGCAAGAACGCTGAAGCTGGCTGTTCGGTGACGTGCACCCTGGCCCATCGCAAGGGGCACCAGAACTCATGCCCTTTCGAGCTAATGGCCTGCCCCAACGAGGGTTGCATGGTGCAAATACCGCGTGGGACCTTGGTGGCACACCTGCAGCACTGCCAGCATGGGACCCAGCAGCGCTGCGCCCTGGGCTGTGGTGCAAACCTGGGCCCAGCGGAGCATGGACCCCACAACTGCCACTGTGAGCTGCGCGAAGCCTGGGGCCAGCGCCAGGATCGCAGCCAGACCCTGGTGCTGTGCCTGCTCCAGCACGTGCGCAAGGTGCACCGCACCACCACCCTCATCTGCTGGCAGTTGGCCCAACTAGGGAACTTCCTGGAGAATGACGCACTGCTCCTAGGTGCACAGCAAGAGGCTGCCCCTGCGCAGCAAGAGGATGCCCCTGCGCAGCAAGAGGATGCCGAGGCCACCCCGGAAAGCAGCATTGGGGCTGAGGGGTGGGGGGTCCAGGACCAGAGTACCTTGTAAATTGAGGGATAAATAAACACGAGCCCTGAACTGGCTTGCTCCCGCCATCTCTGTGCTTGCAGCCCTCCGCCTCTGCAGGCACTACTCCCTTCACCCTGCAGGGACACTTCGGCCTCTCTCCCTCCACCTCTCCCAAGTTCTTTCCCACCACTGGGTTTTAACACTGGCTCTTTTCCCTGCCCAAAAGCTCTATCACTCACTCTCCTTTGCCTGGCTACTTTCCACTCAAATTAATGTCTCACGAGGGTTTTTCCCAGTCTTCTTCCCAGTTACTCTCTAGCAATTTGCTTACCAGCTTCATAGCCATTGGCACAAACAGCTCAAATTCCTGAGCTGAGTAAAAGCCCCCTCATCACAATGACTCACAGTGAATCCCCATTATCTCTGACCTCCTCCCCTTATAAATCTCCCTGCTCACTCCCTGAAGCTACCTGGGCTTCAATTGCTCCTCCTAACGCCAGCCCTGTGCAGTGGCTGTTCCTTAGCCGGAAGCACTGTTCTAGATAACCACAGGGCTCCCTGCTCCACCCACTTTAGGGTTCTGCTCCACCACCCCATTTACAACTGCACTCCCTGCCCTGGCTGGGTATCTCAGCTGGTTAGTGTCATCTGAATAGGCTAAGGTTGCGGGTTCGATTCCTAGTCAAGGCCAGATAGAAAGATGACGTATTACAGAAGAAACCTATATAATTATCCAGTAAAACTTTATTATCCAACGTCACACCAATACCTTCAATAAAAAATAAAATAGCCCTCACTGGTTGGCTCAGTGGATAGAGCGGCGGACTGAAGGGTCCCAGGTTCGATTCCGGCCAAGGGCATGTACCTTGGTTGTGGGCACATCCCCGGTGGGGGGTGTGCAGGAGGCAGCTGATCAATGTTTCTCTGTCATCAATGTTTCTAACTCTCTATCCCTCTCCCTTCCTCTCTGTAAAAAATCAATAAGATATATTTTTTAAAAAATAAATAAAATAGAATAAAATGCCAGCTACCTAGTGAACGCAGTCTGTGCCATCCCACCGGCCCCAGCCGGAGTACAACCCAACCTCCAGGCCGGAAATGCCCCTGCCAGCTTCCGCTTCCTGACGCTGCAGCCAAGGCCACCGGCGCGGATCGCACGGTCTTAATGACGTCACAGTAGAGACGCGCGGTGACGCCAGTGAAGCGCGCCGGCAGGTCGGAGAGGCGCTCGGGTCTCCCCCACGA